CAGAAAGCTGAAATAGGATTGACATCTCACATCATACACAAAAATCAACTCAAGGTGTATCAGAGACTGGAAATAAAGCCCAAAACTATAAAGTTTGCAAGAGACAAACTGGGACAAAGCTTAGAAGGCCTAGACTATGGTATAAAGATACTGATAAAGTCAGTATCTTTAAAACTCAGTTCGAAATGCACAATCTGGAGAGGATAAAATTGATCAATGGGACCTTCTAAAGGTTAAATCCCTGTGGGCATCAAAAACTTTTTCCAATAGGATGGAAAGAAAACCTACCGACTGGGAAAGAACATTTGGCAATACCATCTCAGAGAAAGGTCTCACAACAAAAGTTAAAGATAGGGTCTCCAGAAGAAAAAGACTGATAATCCAATTACAAAATGCTAAGACCTTTCACAGAGGAAGACATTCTGATGGCCAAGAGACATAGGAAAAAATACTCAAAATCACTAGCAATAAGGGAAATGCAAATCAAAACCACAATGAGATACCATCTCCCCCTAGTTGCAGTGGTAAAGGTAAGAAAGGTAGCAAGCAATAAGTGTTGGGGAGGATGTAGAGAGGTGGGAACTCTCATACACTGTTGGTGAGATTATAAAACGGTACAATCACTCTGGAAGGCAGTTTGGCATTTCCTCAAAAAGCTGAACATAGAAACTCCGTATGACCCAGCTATTCTACTAACAGGAATAGAAAATTAGAACTGAGACACAAATGGAGACTTGTACACCAATGTTATAGGTATGTTATTCATCATCACAAGAACATGGGAACAGCCCAAATGTCCAACCACAACTGAATGGTCTGAGAAATTGTGGTATATTCACACAACAGAATACTATGCAGCATTCAGGAGCAGTGTTTTAAACAAAATACTACATAACTTGGCAAAGACTGAAGAGCATTATGCTGAATGAACTAAATCAGTCCAAGTACAAATACTGCGTAAGACCATTATTGTAAAAAAATAGAAGGATAACTAATAAAATATGTATGGGGACCTATGGGGGGGAAGGGATAGGAGAACAGGAGTAAGGATGGGTGGTAATCATAGTGTTTCACAATTTGGCGGGTGGAGGGGGTAAAAAGGAAAGATCTGGAAGGGACCTGAAAAGAAGGGCAATGGTGGCCTTAGTTCAATGGTGACTAGTTTTGTATACAATACAATAACTGTATGAAACATGTCAATGAAGAAAAGGAGGGAATCTGCATTAAAAAAGAAATATATAAAACCAAAAATATGCTTAGTCTATTCATATATACTAATTTCTGTCAATATAACTCAAAATCCAAGTTAACTTTGACTAGAAGAGATACATGTAATCTTTGAGATTATAAATAATTAGTTTGGGATCAGAGGGCTGGACGATGACTAAGGATGATAGAAGGAGAATCCATGCCTCTATAAAAGTAAATTGATTTTTGTATGTTATTCTTTTTTTAAAAAATTAAATTTTTCTTTTATACTGGTTTACTTAAAGTTTGTATACATTGTTTTCACACCAGACCTTTTCCATTTCCTTTACCCATCCCTCCCTTTACCTGTTTATGTTATGCTTAAATATTAAAAAAAATATATTAATAACTTCTGGCTAACAAAAGGAGCTATACAGACAACTGAAATGCAAATCCTAACAGTCTAGAGACTAAGGTAGGTCTGATTCATGCTATAGTTTTTAAAATTATTTGCTATGCATCAGAAGGCTGGATGATGACTAAGGATGATAGAAGAAGAATCCATGCCTCTGAGACGTGGTGCTGGAGAAGAGGACTGAGCAGACCATGGACTGCTAGGAGAACAAACAAGTCTGTTTTGGAGCATGTGGCCATGAGGGTCCAGTCTTTGGAGAAAGACATTGTTCTTGGAAGGTGGAGAGACACGAAAGACAGGCCCCAGATGAGACTGACATAGTAACTGGAGTAATGGCGTAGGTGTGTCAGAAGCAGTGAGATTGGCTCAGGATAGAACAGGGTTCAGCTGTAATAATAAGGTCATTATTAGCCTCAGATGACTTGATGGACATAACAATAATCCTTACACCAAACAAAAGATTACGAGCAGATTGTGTAAAGAATACCTACAAGTCAATAATTATCATTTAAAAAGGCAACTTTCTAATGGATGAAATGGTGGCAGGTCAGTGACTGACCTCTAACTTTGCACAGACAACTTAGATGGCTAAAGATGCCTTCTGCTTGGCCATCTATCACTGACTGACCCCCAGCTCACACCTCTCCCCTGAACATCAGAGTGATATAGTAAAGTCTGTGGAAGTTGGAACTTGTCGGAGAAAGAAACTCAGATATTCCTCCCACCCCACTGTAATGAACAACAGAGAAGAGGTAAGAGGCAAAAAACCTGTGAGATTCAGAAAACAAGGCAATTCACTCAAGTTCCAGTTGTCAGAGGTCTCACTGTGTAGACAATGCTAACACAACATCTCTACCTGGTTCTCATAAATCAAAACCAAACCCTCTACCATCAAGGCAAGTCTAACTCAGCAGACCTCATGGACAGGGTCGTAATGACACACAGAGTTCCAGGCTGCACCCTTTCCCCACAGTGGCTGGTGGGTTTCAACTGCCACCCACTTGGGGAGCCATCGTGTCATTAGAGTCCCTTTGGCTCTCACAAGCAGCCCAACTATAACAAGTTCAAAGCTGAATTCTAATTCTTCGTCAAACTCACCCTCCCCCAACTGTCCCCAGTTCACTAAATGACAACTCTTTTTCTCAAACCTGGGAGCCATCAACAACCCCTCTTTTTTCACACTCTACATCTATCCCTTCAGCAAATCCTGTCAGCTCCAGCTTCACACCCAGAATGTGACCATTTCTCATCCCTTCCACTGTTATTACCTGGTCTGCACAACACCTGCCTTATCTGGTACTACCTTCAGTCCACAGGCTTCCACAGCACACCCCATCATTCCTCTAATCAAAATCCTCCAATACTTTTTTCATCCCATCCTGTTTAAAAATAATGCTTATTAGGAATGCTTTCAAAGTTGTACAGGATTTCTTCCCTAGCATGTTCCACTATTTCTCCCTTCATTACTATACTCCAGCCACCCTGGCCCTGTTAATAACCTACTGCCATCAAGTCCGTTCTAACTCAGATTGGCCCTACAGGACAGAGGAGAACGTTTCCTCAGGCCTCGAAGGCTAAATCTTTATGCAGCTGAGTTACTCCTCTTTCTCTTGTGGAAGATTTGAACCACTAACCAACCTCTCAGTTAGCAATCCAAGGCACCATTTCACTGTGCCACGCTTGCCTTCCTATGGCACCTCTAACAGTCTTGGCAGGCTCCAGTCTCCAGGTCTTTCAATAGTAATCATATGCCTGGAGTTTGGAAAACCCCGAAAGGGCCCTATGACTCCTGGCTTCATGATCTCTGCTCAAATGTCCTGTATCATGTAGCCTTCCTGTATCACTCTCTTCCAGAAATGGTGCCACTTTCCTCATTCTTCGCTCCTTTCCCCTCTTCACTGCTTTATTTTCTTCCCTTATAACCATCATCATTCATACTTTGCACGTCCTTTTTTACTGTGTATCTCTTCTCACTAGGATTTATTTACATGAGGGCAGAAATTTTGTTTATGATATAAACAACAAAACTCCCACAAACTCATTGTACTGAGTTAGTTCCAATTCATAGCTGAAATAAATATTCATTGAGTTTCTGAAGCTGTAAACTGGCTGGGAGGAGACTGCCCATCTTTTTCCCACTGAGACGCTGGTAGATTCAAATCAACAGAAGTGAAGTCTGTGGGTTTGCAGTGCAACTTGCTACAGACTACACCACCACAGCTGTGCTATACTGAGGCACTCAGACATTGGTAAATGAATAAGAAAGCCAAATGTCCAACACAGGATAAGGAAAAAGTTCAACCTTGCTAGCAATCTGCAAAATAAAGAATAATCGCATAAAACCAAATTAAGCTCTTTAACACATATTAAATATTATCAAGCTTTGGCAAAATAAAACAACTCAGCAGAGCTGGAGGCAGTACACACAATTCACCCAGGCACTTCAGCAAGTCCCAATAGTATCTAGAGCAACTGCAAATGGACAGTCTTCAAATTCAACCCTTTTTCTCCAGCTGTACACTAGAAAAAACATGCTCAAAGGTGCTCGAATGCTCAGGGTAAGGAAGTGAAAAAATGAGAACAATCTACACGCCCACTGGTCAGGGAAGAGTGTAAGACTATGCTTCAATACAAACAGATCCGGAAAGAAAACCATACACTGGAAAAAAGAAAACAGCAGAATGCTGAAGGATGTTTTCCTTTGTATCTTTCAAAGTTAAAACATTTTTCTTCAGTAAATAATACATAATGACTGCTACCTTTATTATAAGCCTCTAATAATTATAATACATAAATAAAAACCTAAATAAACCTGGAAACTAAAAAAAATAATTTTTATATTATTCTACAACCCCAACTAAGCACATTTTCCATCATTTCACACTCTGGGGTCTGAGCTCATGTATAAATTATTTACACTGAGCTTCAAAAGCAGGTTTCTATTTAGAAATAATGAAGAAAAGGAAACAAAAAATCTTATGAATGTAAAGGTTCTAGTAATAGTCAACTTCTATCACTCAAAACATAATTTACAGATTACATTAAAATTTATAAAAGACTTAAAAAAGTCCAAGTCCCTTTTCCCATATTAAAAAGAAAAAAAGAGCCAGTAAGCTTTGTTAACTGACCATCTAAATTTCTTCTTAAAATAAATTTACTACTACTGAAATTCTAGAAATTCAAAGACAAATCTGCCTACAGGGAGTAAAATGATTATGGCATTTAGGATAAACAGTAATTTTCCTTCTTTCTTTTAAAATGTATTAGTCGAAAATTAGTAGAAGTTTCACCAAAGTATTAAGAAAATTAAAATCTTTTACATTTTGAGAAAAACACAAGACTCTGGATATGAATAATCTATATATGATTGTCTCAATACTACGTAAGTACAGCTTACCTTAATGTGCTGTTAATTGCTCCCAGTTTATTAGCTTGTTCACAGTCTTCTAACTCTTTGGTAGCATTTGCCATTTCCAAGTACTGCAAGAAAGTTCATAAGTTTAAACAGTAATTATTACCTTGATCCTTACACTCCCTGTCTGTCAATCTGCTGTACTGTGGTGGCTTGTGTTGTTCTTGTGATGCTGGAAACTATGCTACCAGTATTTCAAATACCAGCAGGGTCATGCAGTGAGCTGGCTCCAATCACGCTTCCAGACTAAGACTAGGAAGCAGGCCAACCCACCCACTTCTGCACTAACGAGCCAGTGAAAACTCCGAACAGCAGCAGGATGATGTACAATTCAGAGCTGGAAAATGGACAGCACACCAAAGACTGCTGCCTCCTCTTAGGTGAGTCTATCTTTATGGCATATGGATGGAGTAAAGCTTTCACTCAATTAAAGACCTACATCTGCTCAAAATGATGGGAAACTGTAAATATCCATCAATAATGAGAATGTAGAATGTGTAAAGTCTGAACCTAGGAAAATGGGAAGTTGTAAAAAATGAAATGAGTTAAAATGGACTATCATTGGCCATTCTGAACTAGACTACTAAGTCAGACTACAAAACCTAAGAAGCATGGTTTCACATTCATCAGATAAAAGAACACTTCAATATCTATTCTGAAGAATAATACTGTCATCAATTATGCATATGACTATTATTCAAATTTAAGTATCAACCATTAAAGTCAAGGATGAAGAAAGTGACGATTTCTACCAACTTCTGCAGTCTAACAATTATGGGAAATTGGTGAAGCATGTAAAAAAGATACTGGAAGAATAAGTGGTGACTGGAATGTAAAAGGAGCTAGGTAGTAGGAAGGTATGGCTGCATTAGCAGAAATGAGGTCAGAGATGATATGGCAGGACTCCATTTGACTCCATTCAACCTGTTCATTACAAATATCTTTTTTGAAAAAAAAAAAAACAATTTTTATTTTATACTGGTTTACTTACAAAGCTCATAGACACTGTTTTTCATACAAATATCTTTTTAAAAACAATGAAAATAGTGACTTTATGCGTGGATCTCACCAGACGGTATACTTAGGAGCAGACAGACTGCATCTATGGTGGCAGAACAGAAGCTCAATGTCGTCAGTGAGAGCAAGATCAGGCCGACTGTAGAGCAGTCCACCAAGTGTCACAGCAAAGTTCAATTTGAAACAGAAGAAAATAAACACACATCATCCACAAGAGCAAAATACAACCTGCAGCAGCATACCCCATCAGGACTCAGAAAGCATTATAAGAGCAGATTTGATGCACTGAGCAGTAATGCAGAGGACGGGTGGGATCACATAAAAGACATTGTATGACGAATACAAAACATCATTTAAAAAATTAAAAAAGGTCATTAAAAAGATAAGGAAAAGCACCACAAGACAAACAACCCAGTGGAAAAATGGGCACAGGATATGAACAGACACTTCACCAAAGAAGACATTCAGATGGCTAACAAACACATGAAGAAATGTTCAAATCCCTAGCTCTAAGAGAGATGCAAATCAAAACAACTATGAGATACCATCTCACCCCAGTCAGAATAGCAAAATTTAACAGAACAGCAAACAACAAATGCTGGCGAGGTTGTGGAGATACTGGAACCCTTATTCACTGCTGGTGGGAGTGTAAAATGGTACAACCACTATGGAAGGCTGTATAGCACTTTCTCAAAAAGTTGCAAATAGAAATACCATTTGACCCAGCAATTCCACTACTGGGAATATATCCTAAAGAAACCATAACTGTCACCCAAGCAGATATATGCACACTCATGTTTATCATGGCTTTGTTCACAATAGCAAAGAGTTGGAAACAACCTAAGTGCCCATCAACAAACAATGAATAGAAAAGCTGTGGTATATTCACACAATGGAAGACTATGCTGCATTGAAAAACAAGGAACTCATGAAATATTATTCAAAATGGGTGACCTTAGAGGACATTATGCTGAGTGAAATATCTCAGTCACAAAAGGACAAATACTGCATAGTACCAACTGCTGTAAAATGGGACTGACATTGGGGTAAGGGGGCAACTGAGAAAGATGGGATAAATTATGTGTACTGCATTCAAACAGATGAGGGAGAGAACTGTTTGAAAGGGATATATGATTGGGTATTATTGTCATGACAGAGTCCAGAACAAAGGCTGCATAGTGGAGTGGACTTGGGGGGAGGGATTGTATAACAATGAAAGAATTTTTCTTTTACTTTTCAGAGAAGACTGAACTGAGGGGAAAGGTTGGGCAGGGAGAAAAGTACAACAATCAATGAATGGAAATCCAAAGTCTCTGTAAACGTTCATGAAAATAAAAAATATAGTAATAAAAAAAGGGGGGAAAGTGTAAACCTAAAATGAATGTCACTGTATAGAGTAGCCAAGGTGAAAGGGAAAAGTGATGTAAGATTTCAGAAGGTAGCTTAAGACAAACAAAGCAAAATAGTGGAATGAAATGTAAGAAGACCTGAAGTTAGAAGTCCAAATGCAAGAATGCACTTGGCATTTCTCAAGCTGAAAAGAAATAAAGAACAAAGGCTTGCATTGCAAGACTGAAGGAATGCATGAGCAAAATACTGAATGTTGCAGGAAGGATCAAAAGAAGGTGAAAGGAATATATGCAGTCGTTGTACCAAAAACAACTGCTTGGTGATCAATCATTTCAGGATGTAGCATGTGACAAGAACCAATAGCACTAAAGGAAAACATCCAAGCTGCACTGAAGGCATAACAAAAAATAAGGCTCTGGGAATTGATGCAATCTTAAAACAAAAGGATGCAGACCTGATATGCTCACTTATCTGTGCAAGAAATCTGAAGAAAATTATCTGGACAACTGACTGGAAAAGGTCTACATTTGTGATCTAATATAACATGGAAATTACTGAACAACACCATTAAAATTACACACTAGTAAAATCTTGATAAAGAGAATTAAAAAACCAGCAGGAGCATTACATCAACATGGAACTGTCAGAAATCTAAGCTGGATTCAGAAGAGGATGTGGAATTGAAGACATTATGACTGATGTCAGAGGATTCTTGGCTCTAAGTAGAGAATATCAGTGAAGTATTTACTTGTGTTTAGACTATGCAAAGGCATTCAATGTGTGGATAAGATAAAATTATGAATAACAATAGAAGAAAAGGGTATTCTAGAACACTAACTGTGCTCTTTTGGAACGTGTACATAGACCAAGAAGTAGTTGTTTGATCAGAACAAGGAGATACTGTATGGTTTAAAATCAGGAAAGATGTATTAGGGTTGCACCCTGTCGCTGTAACTAGTCAGTCTGTATGATTAGCAATTATCTGAGAATTCTGCTATCAGGCCTGCAGGAACACTGATCAACCACCTGCTATACGGAGATGATACAATCAATCTTGTGTTCAGACAACAAAGATCAGATACACTGATACAGACTTCAATATGAATTATCTGAACATCAAAGGGAAAGAAACACATAACTGAACAAATCATCATGATAAAGAAAAGCTTAATATTGCCAAGGGTTTCATTTTATTTGGATCCCAAATCAACACTCATGGAAGCAGCAGTCAAAAATCAAGATACTTCCTAAAGTGCTAAAGAGTAAAGATGTAATTTTAAAAACTAAGGTGTACCTGAGCAAGCCATGATATTTAAATTGCTTCATACTGTATGTGAAAGTTGGACAAGGAAGAGTGGAGAAGTGATGCATGTGAATTGTGGTGCTGGTGAAGGAAATGACTGTCTTCTGACTGCCAGAAGAAGAAAGAAATCTGTCTTGGAGGGAGGGTGACAGGGGTTCACATCATTTTCTTCTGGCATGTTACCAGGAAGGACTGGTTCCTGGAAAAACACATCATTCCTTCAATAAAGGACCACTTCTAATGCTATTTGAAAAGACTGTGCTCAAAATATCTTGATAATTATTGACTATCTATAAAATATAATCCTGAAAAATGTCAGGTTTCTAGTCAAAACAGAAGACTAAAACACAGGGTATAAAACATCTATTAATCTAACACTGTAATTACACTTTAAAGTTCTTCTAGGGGCTCCAAAAAACAAAATTGAATTTTCAAGAAGCTATATAATTGTAAAGGAGCAAGAACTTATATTCTTCCCAATAGACATGTATATTGCAAGGGTACAGTTATATTGAGGATACTGAAATTAATATCCTTAAACAAAATGCACATGAATGGCTGGATGAACAACCAACAGCTTGCAAATTTTCACTGAAATCACAATCTAAAAAAATTAAGTGTGTGAGACACTAAGACAAAAGGTCTTTATTTCCAAGAATCCATGTCAAGGTTCTCTATGGCAAGTGCTGTCAAATAGTGATTGGAAAACTTCCCTATGCAAAGAAACCTTCAAAAAATGTGACTCACCTTATTAGAACTCCCTGCTTTAATTCCAACTGGAATTTTACTCTGAAAAGACAAACAACACAAATGTTTAATATCTTCCACATTTTTTCTATCTCTTCACAAATTACCAATGGCACTGCCTGAACTCACAAGGTATTTCACTCTGTAGAAGACAAATGAACATTCACTCAATTCTGTTTTAATTATGTTTTTTTTTAATTTTTATTTTATTATTTGTGTGTGTGCGTGTACCGTCAAATCAGATCTGACTGGTACAGGAGGAGATTGTCCCTCCTTTCCGGGCAAAGAATCTGGTGGATTCGAACCGTGCTCCTCTGGGATTGCAGTGCAGCTTCTTGCCACTAGGCCACCAGAGCTCCCCTTGTTTTAATTATCTTGAAGTAAGAGCAAAAAATTATTCCAACTCACAGACTTGTAAATCACAGTAAAGAAAAGTGAATTATCATACAAAATCAGGAAATGAAAAGAAGATCTAGTAATTCCCAATGCAATATTTTTGTTTTATTTTATTATTTTGTGTGTGTACCATCAAATCGGATCTGACTGGTACAAGGAGAGTTTGCCCCTCCTTCTCCAGCAGAGCACCTGGTGGATTCGAACCACATACCTCTGGGATTGCAGTCCAATGCAGTATTTTTTAAAAATAATAGTTTATACTAAAAAACTATTTTCCACAATTTTTCTGACCATAGAGAGGATAACTTTTACAAAAGCAAATTTCTTTAACACATTATATTGAAGGAGTTTTTGTGGTGCAGTGGTTAAGCACTCAGCTGCTAACTGCAAGGTCAGCAGTTCGAGTCCACCTGCCAATCCAAGGAAGGAAACTGTAGAAGTCTCCCTCCTTCAAGATTAAAGACCTGGAGACCCTGTGGAGTAGCTCTGCTCTGTGCCACAAAGTCACTAAGTGCGGGAATCGACTTGAAAGAAGTGAGACTGCTTTTCATTTAACTTTTACTTTAAGATGACTTTCAAAACTTTGACAACTCTGGTCTATATAAGAAGGAAAAAGACAGTTTTATGGTCTGTAAGGTCAACTATGGAAAAATTGGGGGCTTACTTGCAGAACAACTGCATATGGGTCTAACCCTGTTTTCCACAGAGCCATTAGTTTTAGGTTTCCAAAGCCAAGTATATGAATTATTGTTAAGTGCAGCTTATCAAATATAACTTTAAACCAAATTGATTACATTAATGGAAACAGTTCCAGGTTGAGTCTCTGATCAACTAAGGACAGGATTTCCAATATTTCTATCCACAGACTATAAAAGTAATAGCAAATTATTTAAAAATTTCTTATGTTTTACAGAAAGATGTTAATCAAATATTAAGAAATGCTGCACAGCTACAATGAAGAATATAAATCATGATAGAGACTTTTCCTAATAGATAAAAAGCAATATAGGAAAATGAATATTACTTGTTGGCAAATTTTTATCACTTGACTATTTTCTACCACCTCTAAAAAAACAAAACGGAAAAAAATTATAAAACATGTTTAAGATTTAGACAGCCACAGTTACAAGACTAAATATTAATCAAAAGCATCCTGACTACTATAATAGGATGTTATCGTTGCTGCTGAGTACCATCAAGTTGGAATTGACCCATACTTGACCCTACAGAAGTTTCAGAGGCAGTTTAATGGCCTGGGAAGAGACTACCCATCCTCCTCAGGAGAACTTTGAGCTGGTGGATTCAAACTACTTGCCTTCGGGATTGCAGTGCTGTTTCTCAGCAACAGGCCACCAGAACTGCCTCTTATGTTGCATAATGTTGCTGTTATGTGCCATCGAGTTGTCTGCGACAACTAGCGACCCTATAGTACAACAGCCCCTAAACCCTGCTCTATCCTGTGCCTCACACAGCTGCCCCTGAGCAGGAAGTACCGCGAGGACCCGCTCTTATTTTTGGAGGAAATAAAGTTAAGAATTAATATATATACACACACACACAGATACATATTCTTAATTTATGTGTGTGTGTGTATGTATGTATGTACATAGAATTTCTAATACCATAAATTCCATATTTATGTGTATAAATGTATTTATGTATATATATATCCATTCTTCATTTTCTCTTCAAGAATTTATCACTCCCCTTTTGGGAATAATATTGACCCAGAACTAGAAGCAGAAATGGCATCTACTTCCTAAACAACATGCCTCTGGAAACTCTATGAACTTTGATAAATGTTGGTAATCATAGAAAGGCTCCAGGCCTTTTATTCATAGGGTTGCTGAGTCATGCTTGATTGGAAGGCAATCAACAACAATTGACCCAGAAAGTCCTTTCTTATTTTTAAGAACAATCCCACTAGAACTGACTAGGTAAGAAAGGCAAAAAGTGAACTGAAACCATAGCCGACAACTAACTACCACTGAAGAAGTAAACCCTGCTTAGTTACGCAGATGTTAAAAGTCCAAAGTGAAGTGCCCTTGAAAATATGGATAGCCCTTTCCCCTTGAATTTATCAAGTAAAGAGCTAATTCCAAGCCTGAAATACACTGGAACTTTAGAGTTCACTAAAATTTTCTACCTGTGGACATGATGTGGATTCATTAAAGAATGAATGAAGTGAGATTTGGCCAAATGTGCATTCAATTCTGGACTTCCCACCAGAATGCATACACTCTTCTACATCCAGTCCCAAGGCTATAGGATGGAAGAGTGTCTTCAAATCCATGTAGCTTGCAAAAAATAGAATACAGCTTCAATAATCTGGCAAAAAAGATAGCTAGGTATATGAGTAAAAAATGTAGGTTTTGTTTACCTGAAAGTCAAAGAGAAAGGAATATTCACATAAAACTGATCATTTCCTCTTATTTACATTAATTTTTACCTCTGGACAGGGTTCCACATGACAATCTTTTATTGAACAATGTCCATCTTCAGTCCAGAATGGACATGGTCGCTTTAGATTAACCTTAAGAGAGAGAACAGATGAATCCACGTTACTTAATAAGCATAATAGTTATGGAATGCTCTCTATGACACCAATATGCTACACCCACTGCCATCAAGTGGACTGTGACACTAAGCAAACTGCAGGACGAGCAGAACTGTCCCACAAGGATTCTGGAAGTCTTTACAGAAGGACACTGTCCATCTTTCTCCTCCAGAGCATCTGGTGAGTTAAAACCATTGATCTTCCCCCTAACCACTGAGTGCTTTAATCACAGTGCCACAAGGGCCCCTAATTGCTTGGAGCTAGTAACATGACGGGAAAGGAGGAGGAAAAGCCTCCTGTTCCCATCATACCTATACAGCTCAGCATTTTTAACGTCTGCTGTTTTGAGGATATGTAAATTTTTTCGGAAAAAATGGAATAAAGCTTATCTGAGGATCACTAGAAGAGCATTTCCATTTCTGGGCTACTTTAACATAAACAAGTTTATTATGTCACCTCTCTTATTAGGATTCTCTCCCTTAGTCACTCATTTGCCAAACATACCCTGAGCACTGACTACGTGTTAGGAACTGGGCTTCTCTCAGCGAGGTAAGAAGAGGAACAAGCACCTCCTACACATCTCCTCAAAGCCAACAGAAATTTCAAGTCAGTGTTTACTAAAGGTTATGGCAAAGACTAAGAAAAAAAACAAATCTAAGGGTTTATGACAAAATAATGAGAGGAAGATAGATGCAGAATGGATAATTGTTGCTATGTGCCATCAAGTCGCTTACAACTCATAGCGACCCTATGTACAACAGCCCTAAACCCTGCTCTATCCTACACTGTCTCTGACATACCCACCCTGATTACCCCAGTCACTGAATCAATCCACCTCATAGAGGGTCTTTCCCTCCTGCACCATCCCTCCATCCTCCCAAGCATGATGCCCCTCCCCAAAGACCTGTCCCTCCTTACAACATGTCCAAAGTATGTCAGACGAAGCCTCAGAATCCTCGCCTCCAAGGAGCAGCCCAGTTTAACCCTCTCCAGAATAAATCTGTTTGTTTTCTTGGCAGTCCATGGTACATTCAATACTGTTCTCCAGCACCACAGCTCAAAGGCATCAATTCTCCTATCCTCCCTAGTCATTGTCCAACTCTCTGATGCGTATCAAGCAATTGCAAAGACCATGGCCTCGATCAGACACACCTTAGTCTCCAGAGTGACACCAGTGCTCTTCAGTACTCTGGAGAGGTCCCTAACAGCCGACTTTCCCATCGCAATACGTCTTTTAATTTCCTGGCTGCTGGTGCCAAGAGTGTTGACTGTGGAGCCAAGCAGACTAAAGTTGTTAACAATCTCAATCTCTTCACCATCCATCCTGATGCTGCCAACTGATCCAGTGGTGAGAATCTTCGTCTTCTTGACATTGAGCCTCAATCCATAACGAAGGCTGAAGTCCTTGACCCTCTGTAGCAAGCATTTCAGGTCTTCCTCAGTTTCAGGAGGCAGGGTTGTGTCATCTGCATAATGCAGGCTGTTGATAGATCTTCCACCAATCCTGACACCACACTTCTCCTCATAGAGCCCAGCCTCTGGGATAATCTGTTCTGCATACAGGTAGAAAAGGTATGGAGATAGGACACATTCCTGGCATACGCCCTTCCCAATTTTGAACCATGCAGTGTTTCCTTGCTCTGTTCTGACGACTGCCTCTTAGTCCAAGTATAGGTTTCACATTAGCATGATCAAGTGTTCTGGGATTCCCATTCTCAGAGCCAACCACAGTTTGTTATGATCCACACAGTCAAATGCCTTTGAATAATCAATGAAACACGGATAGACATTCTTCTGGTATTCTCTGCTTTCAGCCAAGCTCCATCTAACATTAGCTACAATATCCTTGTGCCACAACCCTTTCTAAACTCAGCCTGGACTTCTGGCAGTTCTCTGCTAATGTGCTGTTCCAGTCGTTTTTGGATAATCTTCAGTAGAATCTCGTTTGCCTGGGAAATCAATGAGATTGTTCTATAGTTTCCACACTCTGTTGGGTCACCCTTCTTTGGAATGGGAACAAATAGAGATCTCTTCCAGTCAGTTGGCCAAGTGGTTGTTCTCCAGATTTCTTGACACAACTTGGTGAGCACATCCAGGGCAGCATCTGTTAGCTGAAATACGTCAATTGGTCACATCTATTCCTGGGGCCTCATTTTTTGCTATTTCCTTCAAAGCAGCTTCAACTTCTTCCTTCATCACCATAGGCTCATATGTTATTTCACAAAATTCTTCTGTATCTGCCAATTCCTTTTGATACAATG